CTAGCTATACTTCTTGCAACAAAGATTGGTTTGTTCTTTTGGCAGTCCATGGTACTTTTACTATTCTCCTCCAAACCATAACCCAAATGCAATAATACTTCTATGGTCTTCCTTATTTACTGCCCAGCTTTTGCATGCATATGAGGTTATTAAAAATACCATGGCTTGGGTCAGGTGCACCTTAGTCCTCAAGCTGACATCTTTGCTCTTCAACATTTTAAAAAGGTCTTGTGCAGCGTATTTGCCTAAAACATCATTTAATTTCCTGACTGCTGCTTTCATGAGCGTTGATGGTTGATCTGAGCAGAATGAAGTCTAGAGGAGCAAAATGAGTGAAGCATGTATACATGTACAGAGAAATTTCAAGGAAATTACGAAGCAATGGCTCATGGAATTGTTGCTGTTGTTGTGTGCTGTTGAGTTGATTCTGATTCATAGTGACCCTGTATAGGGTTTTCAAGAGGTGGTTGGTGTGTTGAACTGCAGACCTCAGGGTTAGCTATCCAGTGCTTATCCTACAGCACCATACCAGGACTCTGGCTCATCCCAAATCCATGGATTAGACAACAAGCTAAAGAATTCTTTTATCTTACATGGTTTCAGGGGTGATGAACCTAAAATCTGCAGGTCAGGTGGTAGGCTAAAGACCTCTGTGGTCCTATGTCCCAAGAACTGGAGGTTAGGTGATGAGAAGAATGCAGGGTAGACAGGGGAAGAGCAAGCTTCCATTTATATACTGTAGACAGGTCACACTCCCAAGAAAACTCCTCTACTAACAAACTCACACCAGATCACAAAACTGGAAAGTGGTCAGGTAGTGTTTGCCAAAGCATAGCCTACTCAAGGCGACATTACCACTAACCATTCCACCCACCCACTCTCTACTTATTATACCAACCATCCTAAAGGAAAAAAAAACAAAGTTGAAAAATTTCAGCAATAAAAACCATATGTTACTTATTTTTCCTTCCCCATTAACTGGGGAAATGTCATTTTTAGATATCTGCATTTGAGCACTTTTAACATAGTGCTTAATGGTTGTTTTATTATTAACCTGATCACTTTATTCAATATATACACACACATATTGTGTGTGTGTTCATATTCACAGGAGGTTTTCTATATGCCAGGACTACTCTAGAAGTAAACAAAAAGGATAAGCTTTCTTCTTCAATTAACCCTATAATGGGGGTGGGGCATAAATAAGAAAGAGGAAGAAATGAAGGGACAGGAAGAGGGATGGAGGAAACGTTTACACTAATAAACACTATAAAGAAAATGTGATAGTACCTGGGGAATGTATGGGAAATAAAAAATTAAATTGTGGGCCAGAAAAAGCCTCTTTAAAGACTGATGGCCAAGGGAAAGCGCTTTCCAGGCAAAATACAAAGGCTCTTAGACAGGAAAGAGCTTGTTGCTGGAGCCAGTGAGCAAAGAGAGGTTATGAAACCAAAAAGCATGGCCAAATCAGTAAGCAATGGCCAAGAGATTCGATTTTCTACATTTTGTTTCGTAGGAACCCACTGAGGATTTTAAATGGGATCTGTGACATGTTCTGACTTTTGTTTTTAATGATATCAGAAGCTGTATAGAGAATTATTAAAAGGGAATTGCCATGGATTGAATTGTGTCCCCCTAAAATATATGTCAGTTTGACTGGGCAATGATTCTCAGTGGTTTTGCAGTTAGGTAATGACATAATGTGAGAATTATGTGATGACCCCTATGATGCAATTTGATGTGCTAAACCAATAAGAGGATTAAGGGCAGGCTGTTGTTAGGTGCTGTCAAGTTGGTTCTGACTCATAGCAACCCCATGAACAACAGACTGATACCCTTAATCCTATTACAACCCTGACCCCAAGTAAGGGAGTCCACAGGAGGCAAAATATTACCTTGAATATATCCCACCTGAATTTAGAGATCTGAAGAACAGATTTGATGCATTAAACACTAAAAACCAAAGGCCAGAGGAGTTGTGGGATAACATCAAGAACATCATACATGAAGAAAGCAAAACGTCATTAAGAAGACAAGAAAGAAAGAAAAGGTCAAAATGGATGTCAGAAGAGACAC